CTTGAACTGGGCGTAGAGCAGCCACAGCTTGCTGAATGTGAACTGCATGTGCGGCGGCAGCTCCAGGCAGCTTTTATAAATTTGGCTCGTGCGCTCCACATCTTCAACCTCCAGCTCCTCGTACAACGCGTAGTTGATCCACACGGTTCTTGCGCAGTGTGACCGGCTCCGGCAGTTTATTAGCTGAGAAACATCGATGTTTTTTACAACTATCGATTATTATACATATGTATATATATTTTTTACAGCAACAACTCTTACAACTATATTTCAATATATGTAACTTGATTTTTGTATAAGTGTAAAACAACCAAAAATATTATAAAAAATGAAAGAAATGAATTTATCGATATGCTAAAGTTAATTAGTTTCTTGGTTTTGCCTACAACGCTGTACATTTACTTAGTGTTGCTATCTAAGTCTAATTTAGTGGTATATTTACTCTTGTTGTTGTTTTATTGTTGTCGTTGTTCTTGTAGGGAAAGGCGAGGCTTCAATTCGGACAATTTCAGTACAAAATCGTCCATTTCTCTGGACCTGAAGTACCAGGCGAACAGAAAGAGCAGAAGGCAGATTAATTTTAGTGCAAGAGGTGCAAATTGGAGTTGTTCCTTTAGATACATTGTAGCTGAGTTTTAAATCTAGTTAGAAAATAGCTAGTTTGTCAACCTTATTTATCGAACTTATCGTCATCTACTTTTATCGATTTACTGTCGGCGGCAACTGATCGACTATTTAAATTTAAATTCAAATTTGTCGGTTAACTGATATGGCGGGTACTTTAAATTAAATTGTTTTTATAAGGTTTGCTTTACTTTTTATCGCCTGAATGATGCATATATGATGTTTAGAGCAACAACAAATGTAGTGGCAAAAGATATAGCCACGATCCGATGATTTGAAGAGCGAAATACCTACTATAAATATATAAAAGCAAAGAAAAGGACACTTTTTCGAAAGGTTATTCGTAATATGGTTTATTCAATAATATATATTTCTTTTTCTTTCAAATATGCAGACACAAAAATGTAGAGTATATCTCAATATTGTTATTATCCGTATAATGTTTCGAACAGCTATGCCTCTTAAGGTTTCGGTTTTCGTTTTAATTCTCCAAATGTATCGTTCTGTTTTCGATTTTGCGCGGATTTACACAGTACATATAGATTTGCTATAACATTTACAACGAGGTTCATCTATAACTTATTTGGTGTTTGTCTGACCTTTGTCTGATTCTCACACGATCGTCGATCTTCTTCGGATTTCGATTTCAATTTGATTCTTACGATCTAAAGCTATAGAAACGTTTATCGCGTTTCGTCGTCGTGGGCTTGTTTACCATTTTGTTCTCTGGGACTATAACCTATAAGTATCTGACATCTGCGATCTGTAGGCTTACATCTCGAATCTCGACCCAAGTCGGCATCATTCAACAATATTCGTTGGGTATTCTACACATTCATATATATATATATATATCTAGTGCTCGTTGGCCGATTAATATTTGTTCTTGTATTTAAAGAGAACTACTACTCCTGCCCTGCTCTCGTGTATATAGATAGATTTTCAATTTTAAAACGTTCTTCTTGGATTCAATGGGGAAATTGCGCGTTTTGTCTTTACTAAATATATTTATATATATATATTCATAGTCCATGTGGATGGACTATAACACTTGTATTATGCAATTGGCAACATTTGAACAAAGTAAACGTTCTCTTATTATTATTCTATAATTTTGTTGTTGTTTTGTTTTTGTTTTTGTTTTGCGCAATATTAAAACCGCACCGAGGTTTCTCCCTAAAAATCGAACAACTTTTAATGGGATTACGAACACGGGGTGAGGTTGCATCTGTATCTTGCGGTTAGCTTATAGATGTACGAGGGTCACCTATGAGGCGGGGGATTTGGATGTGGATGTGGTTTGGAGGAGAGGAGAGGAGAGAAGGACATGGTATGGAAGGTCTGAGGTCTCTTACCCGCGAATATATGTAAAGTAAGTAAGTCACTTAAGCGCATTCCTCTTGGTGTCTTCTGGTTATTACTATGGATAGTTGGTGTCTGGATTGCGTACGAGATCGTTACTATTTATCGCCTATATAATATATATATATATTATATATATTTATGGGAGTTAATATTGTGTATATATTAATTAAGTTAAAGCGTTTCCTTGCTCTTGGGCTGTTGGTGTTTGCTCCACATCTCCTACATATGTACGTCTATATTTTGATTTCGGTTCACTCTTATGATCTTAACATCGTTGTTTTTTCTTTATGTTTAAGTTTATGTTCTTATTTCATAGTTGAATTTATGATTTATGATTTTGTTGTTGGTGTTGCTTGTTGTTGCGCTTGACGAGGCCTATTGCGTAGAGGCATTATGTGTAGGCGACTCTTCCTTTTGTGCTTTTGGCTGCTTTCCAGGAACACCACCTGCTCCTGCTCCTGCTTCTGCTTCAGTTCCTCCTCCAGCTCCTCTTTGTGCGTATCCGTATCCGTTTGAGTATTCGATTTCCACCTCTCTCTCTCTCTCCCTATCTAAGCTATAGAAAAATTCAACACGATTTTATCGTTGGGACCCCGCCCACAAAGTTGGGGTCCATGCTCAATGATCAAAAACAATTTGAATCCCCATCGGGGACTCATGCGTACACGTACAGGTTCACCTTCGCTTTTGGGGGCCACTAGGTCGCCGCCCAGTCGAAGCCAGGCTTCGACATGCTCCATTTGAATTATCGTATCATAGGCTAACTATATAAAGTACTAGATCACGCACTTACATACACCTTCTCCTTATCCTTATCCTTCTCCTTCTCCGTTTCCGATTCCGATTCCGTTTCCTCTCTTCTCTGCAAACTCTTTGCTTCGTCCTCCAACTGGTAACTGGCTCTTGAGTTGCTGGTCAATGTGGCGAAAGACCAGACGGGGGGATCAGGGGTCAGTGGATCGTTAGTCATTAGTCGAGTGGGTGGGGCGAACACATGAGTACTTATTGTTCTAACCGGGAGACGGGGATCCTGCTCCGCCCTCTCCCTGTGTGCGCTCCTTCGGTCATGATGCTTCATTTGGCGACGGGTCGTCTTGGTCGGGTCTAGTAGGCATTTCGTTAAGGCTTTCTATGGGTTCTTGTGCTTATTGGGTTTCGGTTTGGAAGGGATTCGGATTTGGATTTGGATTTGGATTTGGATCTGGTTTTGAACACTCACAAAGGAAAGGCAAAGAAGGCAATCAAGTGTCGAATAAGAAAACATGCACCAGCAATCAAGTGAAAATAGAAAATGGTAAACGGAAGCTGGAAAACTGAAAGGCAAACGGAAATGAAAATTAAATCAAGTGCTTCGTGGTATCGCATATAAATATTTTTATTTTTTATGTGTATAAATACAAATATAATTTGTGTTGTTGTTGTTGTTTTCTCTTTAGTTTTTTTTGTTTGTATTCGTTTTTTAGTTTTCATTTGTTTTGCGTTTTTTTTCTTGTTTCGTTGCAAGATCAAGATGAATAATAACAATTTAAAGCACTTACAAAAAGCATAAGGTAAAATATGAAGTAAAGTAAGGGTATATTTTAAATATATATATAAATATATATATATATATATATATATATGTATCTATATATATATATATATATATGTACTATATATGCATGGATTACGTCCCTTAAGCAATAATCTAGTTGTTTGGGGCTTGTTACTGATGCTGTCTCTAGATTGTGAGTTCTTGAGTTATGTTAGTGTATGTATATGTTTTCATTCCTGTACGACTTATATATTCTTCTTTTCGGTTTTCCTTTGTATCTATATATTATTTCATTAATGTTTTGTCATCGGTTTTCAAGGTACTGTGCTTATATATTGCATATAGAGTTTGATTCCGCTTCAGCGTTTAAAATAATAATAATAATAATAATAATAATAATATTCTTACAATATAAAGAACACACTCGCACATACACAGAAAAATAAGACAGAGAGACAGAAAGAGATAAAAGAAACGAAAAGAGATAGCGAGATACTAGCAAATACAAACAACCACACGAATTAATATTCAATAAGTTTAAGGTATACAATTTGTTGTCAATCATTAAAAATGTAACACAATGTGCCAAGGATCTATATAAATAATTTACAATAAAAAAAAAACACACATCAAAACACTACGTTTTAAGATCCATTTATATAAAAAAAGTGTTAAAAGGAGGAGGGAGAGGATAGAGATTGGGATTCCAGAGATATACACACACACGCATACATACAGATCTTGTCCAGCTTCTGTTTGTTTTAGTTTTAGTTTCCTATCTGTTTTTTGGTTCTTATCCTAGGGACGACACGCTTAAGCGTTTCTTAGCTTTCCTACTTGTCAAATCTGATCTGTTCTCACCTCGTTCTGTTCTATTCTCATCTGTTCTGTTCTCATCTGTTCTGTTTGTCTGGCAACTGTGCTCACATCTATTCCGTTCTCATCTGTTTGCAATCTGTTCACACCTCTGTTCGCCTCATCTGTTCTCACTGTTACTTGAATCACAATCAACGCTTTTGTTTGTATCCTATCGTTACATTCTTACTGCCTTCTTTCAAACCTGCTTTAAAGGTCTGCATCATCTTCTACCCGTTCCTCCTTCGTCTGCCAACATCGAGGCTTTTTCAAAGGGTTTTCTAGCTTTTAGCTTTCGATTTGAAATGAACACGGTTTTAAAGCTGATTTCGAGTGGAATCCGAAGGAGGAGGACGGGAAGTGCAAACAAAATCTTATTAAGAAACATTATCCTTTGCCTTATTGTTTGTTTGCTTTTTTTTGCGGCTCTGCTGCAGTTCCGCTCAGATTGTAAAGCCTTAAACAACTATTACATAAATATGCCGGGGCTTGGGGGGATTGGGATTAGGATTGGGTATTTGGGAACACTTACAACATAAAGCGAGACGACGATAACTACATACATACAATACAATACAATACAACTAAGCATTACACACGACTACAAAAAAATATATATATAATATATAGAATAAAGTTTTACAATTAATAATAATAAAAAAAAGAATTAAGGGGACGTACGTACAACAGTAAAAATCGGGAGCTTGGGTTTTGGGTTTGGAGCTGGGTTTCGGGTTGCAATAAATGAAAACCATTCGTTGTCTGTGTGCGTGTGGGTTTGCTTTCGCTTTTGCTTTTTTGCTCTTTGTTTGTCGGGAGTTGTCAAGTGCAAGTGGATGCGATTATTTTGCCGGCTTTTGAAGCATTTCGCAGCATCTCGGCATTGTGTTCTGTGTCTGTGTTCTGTACTGATTTATCGACTTAGAAATTCATTTGTCATGTTTTGCGCGGCGGTGTCGGTGGCGGCGCAGCGACCACTGCAGTGGCTGCTGTTGCAACAGCAGCTGCTGCTTGTGGGGAGGTGGTTGCATGGCTCGACTGGCGCTGGCCGATCATGTCTTTGGGAATGTTTTTGTATTTTGCTGAAAGATGACGGGACTGGTGAGCAACTTTAGTATACCGGGCCGCGGGCGCATCGGTGGCGCCGGCTGCATCGGTGACTGCGGCTGCGTCTGCGACTGCTTACCTGCTCCCGGAGCAGGAGCAGCTGCCTGCTCCTCGCGCTGCTGTTCCCGCTGCTGCTTCAGCGAGTCGCTGTAAAAGTTCGACTTGCGCATATTGCCCAGCCCCAAACCGATTCCGCCCTGCAGGGCATTGACGTTACCATTGCTGTGGCCGCTGCTGCTCCCATTGCTGTTGCTCCCGTTGCTGATGCTGATGCTGTTGCTGCTGCTGCTGCCGCTGCTGTAGTCTTGCTTGGTGCCGTTGATGCTGTTAGCTCCACCAGCTGCATTATTATTATTGCTAGAGCTGCTGGCACTAGTCGGCAGCGGTGGCTGCTGCTTGGAGGCATGCTTGTTGCCACCGCCACCCGTTCCGGGTATCCCAAAGCCCATGGCCATCGAAATGCCCGAGTCCTGGCTGCCCGGCGTAGACGGTGCCTTACTCGATGCTATACTTATGCTAGAAATTGCTGGTGGTAATGGAGATCTTTGTGAATCATTGCCAATCTCGCCGGTGTACCTGCACAAAAAAGGAGTAACTATTAGCGAGGAGGAAACCGGAAAAGCGCTTTGCAGCTACTCACTTGATGTTGGTGTACTCGCGGCCAACCTGTAGGCTCTGCTCTTCGGCCCGCTTTCTGGCGATCAGTGTCTGGATGTAGTGCTGCACCGCATAGTAAACGAACTTGTACTGCGCTTCCGTCTGGACGAGACCGGAGCGCTGCGACCTCACCATCTGGATGGTGCGCTGGATGTCGATTTCAGTGTCCAATCCTGGAACGAGATTAAGGAAAAGTATTAGTATCTATCCAGGAACAGGAGGATAATCTAAGCTTACCATTGCGGACGATCTGATCGAGGATCATGTCGATCACGATGAAGGTGCCAGTGCGTCCAATGCCCGCCGAGCAGTGCACACAGATGGGGCCCTGTGGGAGTGAGATAAATACACCACATGGTTAGCTTCTGGACTAGGCTGGGACAGCTGTATTTCCTTTACATACCGGCTTCTCGCCCGCCTGGGCCAGGTTGCCCTGGCGCGTATTCACGTCCTGCAGGAAGTTGAGCACGCAGCCGGGATCGGCGGGTACGCCGTGGTCGGGCCACACCTGGAAGTGGTAGTGGTAGATGCGGCGCGCCGGCTGCTCCCGCCACGAGACGAGGAACTCACGCAGCGTATAATCGCTGGTGGAGTTCTCCGAGACGCACTGAATGCGCGCCGGCCCGAAATGCTCCGTCTTGCCCTCGTCGGGCCAGTAGCGGGCGCACTTCTCCTTGCCACGCTCGTACTCCTTCGTGGTCATCACAATGACTCGAGTGTTCTCCTGCCAGACCATGTTCCAGAAGTCCGTGACGGTGTTCACCTGCTGCGTGAGCAGACAGCCCTGGGTGGCGATGTACGTTTTGAACATCTCGCGTTCCCGTTCCCGCTCTCGCTCCGCCATGGAAAGGGCTCCGCCGGAACCGTAGGGCGTCTCACCCGAGTGTTTCTTTAGCAATCCAGCTAGACAGCCGGAGGCACCCGACACTCCAGAGATGCCGGAGAGACCCGAGAGGCTGGTGGGAGTTCCAGGGCCTGTATGGCCATTGGCCAAGGAACCCGTGGAGGGCGAGGACGAGGCCGAGGACTCGGTGCGTTTGTGCTTGCTCAGCGAGTCCGATTTGCGGCTGCAGGTGGCACAGTTGCTGTACGGAAGCGTGGCGCTCTTCACGGCACACTGCACGCAGGTCTTGTTCAGCAGCTGGCAGTTGGGGCAGTTCCGCTGTGTCTGGGCCGCGGTGCAGGCCGGGCACGATGGCACCGAGCTGTTTAGGCTCTCCGACGAGCTGCTCATGTTGTACAGATCGCCGTCGGTGGGCAAACGGATGTAGTTGGCATTGATGTACTCTGCTCCGGCAACGCCATGGTCCACATCCAGCAGTTTGACGCGCGTGTGGTCATCTGTGGAAGAGGAGGGTATCGATTAGGACTCTAGTAATGCATTACTTTAAGTATAAGTAACAAATTGGAGGCAACACTCACATGGCAAAATGTTGCGGTAACGATTCTTCAGGCGGTTCTCCGTCTTGTAGCCCTCGTTCCGCGAGAATGTATCCCGGCTATCCTGCTGCAGTGACTCAAACTCCTCCCAGAAACCGCCCTGCAATTGAATAGTTTATATTATTAACCTGGCAGGGTTACTTGGTCTGAGATAGATTACCTTGACCAGCTGCTCTACACGAGCGTTGATACCTGCCGCCGTTATCCGGGTGGCATTGAACGGCTGTCGCAGATGCACCACCGTGCCGCACGTCTCCACCATGGGATTACGTTTGTAGTGCTCGATCAGCTCCGACAATGTTCCAAATGATTCGCCGCCTCCAACGTCGTACTTCTTATCCTGAAAATGGAGGGGGTTTTCGATTAAGTTGGTGTTTTGGAAGATTTTAGAACTGATTTAAGGGATTTACAAGAAAAGGTACTACCAGGGAAATTCCCTTTTCTTAAAGAGAATTTAACTGAATATTTATGGGGGGTTTTTAGCAGGTAAAGTTACCTTTCGTTTGAGTGGGGGCAGGAGTTAGTATTACAATGGGGGACACGAGTGCATAGCAATGAATTCGATGGAGCGTCAAGAGATTAGCTAATAAAATCGAAAACGTGACTGCAATGTCAAATACGAACAAAATGGGAAAAAGGCCAGCGAGACATGTAAATGGCATAATTGCAACCGCAAGCCGCAAGCCGCAAATAGACGCGCATAGCAATAGTAATAGTAAATAGTAAATAGTAAATAATAAATAATAAATGGAAATAGAATAATTATAAAGAAATATTAAAGGCAAAGCATAAAGTTTTCTCGGAAATATGCTGAAATAAAACGGGAAATGCACTGCTTGGGCTGAGCTTAGCTATATCCTTTTTGCAAGCAGTGCAAGTATTAACACTTGGTGTGAACTTGATATTACAGTACAACTTCTAGGAAATTAAAGTAAAGCAAGTTAAGTATTAAATATAAAAAAAGAATATAAAATGTTTCACGAAATTTAGAAACTTTAAAAAGGTTTTATCTTAGCCATTATTTTAATATTTCATTTAGTATTTATTCAGAACTAAAGGAAGCTAATTAGGTATTCTTTGCCCTTTTATCGAGGGTAGACTGTGGCTTTTTAGACACATTCAGCACAAATGCACAAACACACACACTCACACACACACTAGACTTCGGAGAGCCCAAGGTCAGGCGATGAGGAACTTTATGGGCAGTGCGACGACTTTGTTGCTATACTGCCATCGATTTACATTTGCATTATGCACTTTTTCAATAGGGGAAAAATATGGGGGGGAACTGGACTTGGACTTGGGCTTAGAAACTCACCTGCCATCGGATCATGACATGCGTTACTTTGTCATCCGTTCGAACGGATAGAACGAAATCACCGGGCTTGCTCTGAGATTCACGGACGAGAAACGAACCATTCTTGCCCCGCTCCAGGATCAATTTTTCCGCTTCCTTGCCGGAAAGATTGCCATGAAACCATCTGTAAAGGAATATTTAAAAATAGGGGTGTTTTAGTATACATATATGTATGTGTGTACAGCGATTAAAAGGAAACCCCACATATGTATATATACCAACTGATGGCGCATCCAAGTGAACAGTTTTTACGGGACTCACTCGCTTACTGACTGACTGACTGACTAACTGACTGAGTGCGACTACGTGCGCGCTCGAAATGCAATTACAAACTATACGAGAAGCGCGCAAAAGCGCAAAATACTAGCACCAATTCCGAAAAACAACAACAACAACAACAGCAGCAGCGGTCACAATAACAAGAAATAACAACAACCAAATACAAATCGAATATAGGTACAGTATAGCTTCCATAGTGTATTCCAAGAGTACAGCTGCTTACAAATATAAGGTAAGTGTGAACATCACATTCGTATCCTTGGAATACTCGGGCGCCATGTTGAAACTGCTGCTTTATAACTGCTTTGTTTACTTAATAAGAAAACTACAAAATAAAAAAAATAGTAAAATATTGCCAAGTAGTATTTTGAATATAATTGAACAGCTATAGGACTTTACTGTAGCAAGCAAATACACTAACCAAAGTTGGAAGAAAACAGTCAACAGCAACACGGCCACAGCAATAGCAATAGCAGTTGATTTTTGCTTTTGCTTTTTGCTTTTCCAAATAGTGTTAGCAATGCTGGTAGCAACAACACGCATACGCCGTGTGGAAAAGTGCAAGTCGAATCAAAACCAGCAGCTAGAGGTAGCTACTTGGGACTTGGGGCCGGGACTTATAAGTCGACCCGTCTGTCCGTCTGTTGACTCGACTTGACAGACTTGAGACTGGCGATTGCCATCGCCAATTGCATTTGCAATTGTGACGGTGATGTGACATAGAAAAACGGTAGCTTAAAATTAAGCTTACTAACTTAATACAGCATAAAAACCGCGAACAAAAAACACCACAGAACAAATTAAGCTTTGAGCAGTGAAGAACTGCTTGACGACGACACCTAATAAAAATTGGTTGTAAAACAAGCAAAGTTTTTAACTTGCATTACTCATTCATTTTTTTTTTTATAAGTGTTTTAGTCACAAATTTATATACTTTAAGGCTTAACCAATTAAAACTAAAAATATATTTAAATACTTAAACTCCCTCTTGCCTTTGCGAGCAAGTTCTTTTCAAAAGATATATACTTAAATCAAACTCCAAATCGGTTCTGTTTTCATCTATAGATCTGATTAAGATCAATCTCGTTCTGAGAGTATTTCGCACTTCGATTTTGCACACCTCAACGCTAGGCTTAATAGTTCATTGGTTTTGTTTTGCTTCGTTTTGCCTTCTACTTACTATTTTGCATAAATAACACTAACTTAAAAAACTCGCTTTGAATGCCATTATCGACCATGTGCTGTTGCTGCTTCGGCTGCTTCTTCTTTAGCTCTTAGCCCGCTTTCGAGTTCGTCGCCACCACAAAATAAAAAATAAATTCAAATAAAAGAGCAAAGAAGAGAATATACAAAATCCGAGCAAAATGTAGAAAACAATTGACAACATTGAGTTGTCCTTAAGCCGGTTCCAATTCACTGCCTTTGGGGTCATAGATATCATAAAATATGTCATCAAGAGCCCGCAACATTTTTTTGGGTGTTGGTTAGCTTAAGCAGGTGACTCGATCTCGGACTCATGTTTTATGTATGCAATAGGTTGAGCACCGATCAGTTCCCCCGGATATCCCACCTCTCTACACGGAAAACAAAAAGCTAATGCTAACGCATAGAAGTTTCTTCTTCATGAAATTGGAGGTCCTGTATTGCGAATATTTATATATATTATTCATTCAATAAAACAATATATCGCTTGGTATTAACTATTAATGATAGCTAGAGTTGAGCTATTTTGTGCATATTGATTGTAGTCAATATATATGTATATCTTCCGCGTAACTTGGCTATTAATAGAAATTCATGTAGAAACAATTAACATTACATTAGAGCGTCGTGAATTTCAATGCTGTCTGTCTGTCTCGGTCTTCCTTTCGCTCTCCCTCCCTCTCTGGACGGCCTGTTACAGATTCAAGGTGGCCCGAACCCGATCGCTTGGTAGTGATAAGAATGAGTTTATAGGTTTATTTTTAGCAACAAACGGAAGTTGGAAAAACTATTACGAGCCGGTCTCTCGATCTCTGCTGGCACGTAGGCAGGACACCGCACTGCTTGGGCATGACATGTAAATGTCACGTAAACTGCTTGCCAGAGGCAACTGTACCCACAGCGCAAAAAAATGGTTAAATCGTTTGAATTATATAAATTATTTAAGCAACTCAAGAGGTGTTCTCTTGTTATTAGCATAAAATAAACCAAATTAATTTGTATCAGTTCTATATAGATAACTATTTCCGTTTAAAGCGTAAACTGCTTGCCCGAGGCAACTGTACCCACAGCTCAAAAAATGGTTAATTAATTATTAAAATTATTTTTAAAAGTCTCACAATACTAGCATAAAACCAAATTATATTGAATCAATTATATATAGACAGCTATTTCCGTTTAAAGCAATCATGAACAAGATTTAAGAACTGCGCATTCTTTGGGATGATTCAAAACTGACACAACATTCGGACCGTGTGGAAAGGTTCTCAATATTTACATAAGACAATTCACAGTTTTTAGACCACATCTATTAGCACATTTTGGCTTTAACTGATTGTTTATTTGCGATTATCTGACCAGAGATCTTTTTCAAAATTCGCCTGCTCTCCGTCATCTGTTTGACCCCGTGAAATCGAGTTGAACTTGGCAATTATCAATCGCCTCGAATCGGATCAGATCGGATTGCATCGATCCATATATCATATCCTTTGTGGAAGCCACTCAACCCAACTGTCTCCACCCATATTTCGTTTGTTGATATTTAATTTTAGCACTGTGACGATAGCAGGCACTCACAAATTACTTTTACAGCTCCCAGATTTCCCCTTCTCTCTTTTTCACCGATTTTAAATCAGATCGACTCGACTGGAGTTAATCGCGGGCGAGGCGACAAAAATATCAACAGAATACGAGGCGGGGTACAGGGCGACGTCAGTGAAAATTTCACAACTTTTTGCATCATTTACAGTTACACTTACGTATGTACGTACAGTGCGGGGTGTATTATATTAGCATACGAAGGAAGCTGCACGCCATTCATGAAAGCGCCGTCTAAGGTCAACAAACAGATTTACATGCGAGCATGTGCAACTTTTTTGTATTCAGATTCGGAATATGGTATATATATATGTATGCTTTTAATTTGTTTCGTTTGTCACAGGTTTATTTTATTTTATGATTTTTTTGTGTGCCATCGCACCTGGAAAGGCGGCAGCGAAACGGGTCTGAAACTGAGGCCTGGGTTGCCTTCATTAAATTAACTTTTCGAAATGGAAAGAACAGCGAATGCTTGCCCATACCCTAACCCCTATCACCCACGCACAAGCAGTGCATAAAAGGAGTCCAGGTACAGTCTGATCAAAGGATCAAGCAGGAGTCAAGCAGTTCGACAATTTAACAAGCCGTTCAAACCAAGTAGAATTCCAACTGGAAATCTTTCAAAGTAATTGCGGAAAAATTAAGCCGTCACATGAAAACTTTCCAGATAGTTTTTCCCCTTTAGCAATTGGGTCTTCCCATGGAGAGCATCTTGCATTCGGTTAACTGCATGAATTTGCACAAATTAAAGCGTATTTATTTGAACAGTGGCAGTAAAAACAAAAAAAAAAGAATATTAATAATAACAACAAACACGGCACAAAAGTTGATTTCGTTGTGCAATGGAAAAAACGGAAATATGCAAAACAGAAGGCAGAGTCATTACTTGATATGTGATTTCATAAATTGTTTATCAACCGAATGGGAATGGGAAAGGAAAACAAAAGCCAGAGAAAGAGAGAGATCAATACAAAACAGCATCTCGGTGTAGAGCTTCCCCATTGTTGACCTAGTGAAGTGACAAGTGATGAACGCGTGACTTGCCTTTAGCACCGGAAATTGGAGATTGAAGATTGAAGATCGAAGCTATTGCCAAATCATTCTCACATCATTTGATACTATACTTTAATGGTTAGGAGGTGTGATAAGCACTTCAGCTTTAATAAATGGTAAAGAATGGTCACGAACACATCTCAAATGTTTACAAATTCCCCTTAATAGACCAAGTTAACAAGATTATCAAAGCTTGCACCTATAATGTATCAATTCCGATTAACATTGGCCATAAAGAGCGAGCCAAAAGCGGACATAATTCGAATTCAAGCTCAAAAGTCAAAGATAATTTATGGGTCATAACCAGCACAGGCAAACTGTAGATTCTTGGTAAATGTGCGAAACCGAATGAGAGGATTCCAAGACTGGGACAGCCCACGCAAAGTAAACAAAACAAAATACACACATGGCCCGTGGCAGATAAAGCCTAAAGACTTCGGTTGGAGTAGGAATGTGGACATTCACCAGACATAGGTAAACAATTGGGAGAAGACTTGGCAGATAATATATCCAAAAGATACAATATCTGGCGTTGCAGTGAATGTTCCATGGAATACTTTCAAGTGCGTAGTTCCCAAAAAATTACTCAAACAACTTAATCCAAGCTCTAAATGTAAAAATAAATAGAGAATTTTTGGCTTGACAATGGGTTAATTGAATGAGGGGGTTGATTTATACTTATACATATATGCCATATATGAGGCACATTCTGAAGCTAAATCCGAAGCCAAAGCCCCCCACCGATATTCATTCATATTAGAATGTCAATTTACGACTTTTTTCCTGCCTCTTTTTTTTTGAATTGTTTTTGTTTTCCTTGTCAAATGCTTTGCGTAAATATTTACTCATTTTGCGTGGCAATTTTGAACACATGACAATTTCATTTGAGTGTGCGGTGTTTTTTTGTGAGCTGTGATTGCCTCCCTTATTAGGGTTAATGCTAATGGGCAGCAGCAGATTGGAGTCCAGACTCTTCTCGGATCGTTAGTGACC